GGATTCTCTCATTTAGGTGGAACTTTGTGAACCTCTGCTGGCTCTTCACAAACAGAGTAAAGAGTGCAGAAGAGATTACATCACCTTGTTTGTTCATGCCACAGCTGATAAGACAGCCAGCAGCAGAAGAAAAATCTGTTTCTCTAAAAGTTTCTTATAAAAACAACTAAAGCAGGAAAAACTGTAGAAAAAGAAGCGGTGAAAACAAACTGTATGAAAATAAAACCTTTACATACAGAGTGAAGGAAATGTAAGAYGTGAGGCTGAAGGAGGAGAGCAGCAGCTTGGAGTTCCTCCAACTCTTTGTGTTTCTACAGAGAAGCAGCCAAAGCTCTGAGACCACCCCCATTAGACCAGAGACCCCGCCTGGTTCTGAGCYGGCACCATGATGGGCACCCCTCCCATGCGGCTGATGTTGGAGGCGGTGAAGGTGGGCGCAGGGGGTGGGGAGAGGCCGTAGGACTGAGGTGCAGCCAGGACCTGGGGCAGCTGGCTGTAGCGCTCCTGCACTGAGGGCGGACCCCCCCTGGTGCCGGGCTCCAAGGACTCGGGCGGTCTGTAGCGCTCCTGCACTGAGGGTGGACCCCCCCTGGTGCCGGGCTCCGAGGACTCGGGCGGTCCGTGGGGGAGGGTGCTGCTGTTGTTGTAGTTGTAGTGGGTGGGAGTGGAGGCGCCGTGGTGGCGGGGAGGCCGGTACCCGGCGGTGCTTCCTGTGGCTGTGATGATGGAGGCGGAGTCTGAGGCGGGGTGCTGGGGGTACTGCTGCAGGTGGTGGTTGTTATGGTGGTGGGAGGACTCTCGGTGGTGGGGGCTGGAGCCGACGGAGGACAGAGTGCCGTTCTTGGAGATGACATCAGAACCCATGCCGCTCTTTGCCCAAGACACTCGTTTTGGGGCCTGAGCATCCTCCCTGAGGGGACATGGACAGAGTGGTCAAAAAGACAGACTCAGACTCTAAAACAGAGGTTCTCAAACTGGGGTTCCAGGACTCCCAGGGGTCCGTGAGTCGTATTTTGGGGGTCCTCAAAAAATTTCAAGAAATTGTTAATTTGGTTTTTATTTCAAAAAATGCATATGGGGAATGATGCACTAGTAAAACAAACATACTAAACCAAACAAAAATACTATTACCATGGATTTAGGGGTTAAAATAACTGTAATTTATTTTGCATTAACATCATGGGGTTTATTAAGGGGTCTCTGGATTTTTTCACCCTTGTAAGGGGTCCCCAGACCCAAAAAGTTTGAGAACTAGTGATGTGACGTTCACGAACGATCCGAWTCTTTTGAACGGCTCTTTACAACAAATGATAGAAGCCAAGTTGCGTGCAGTAACGAGCCATTTGTAGTTTTATTTATTTTATTCCTCATATAATCTTTATCTTTTCRTGCTTAAATTGCTCCCACTTTGCTTTTTCATGGACAGCAGGCAGAGCGGTGGAGTACAGAAGCTCACGGGAAAAGGGGAGGGGGATTTCTGCTYGACAAAACACATGGTTCCACCCAMGTAACGTGATGACATCATCATGTCACCGTACGTGATGACGTATTTCCCTACATGATGATGTAACTTGTTCAAAATCGAACGGCTCYTTTGAACGGCTCTATGAAACAAACGGCTCCCCAAGATCCGGATCCCATGAAAGAGCCRTTTATCCCATCACTATTGAGAACCCTGCTCTAAAAGACACCGTGTCTCTGAGCTGCTGGAAAGAAACAGAATGTCTCAGAAGACCTGTGCAGGTCCTCAGCTAACCCACCTGAGTCACAGAGGTCCTGATGCTTCACTTCAGTAAGCCCTCAAGTTTCTCTTCAAGCTCTCAGAGTTTTTGATTGGTTAATAACATTAGTGGGCAGCGCTAATTCAAATTTTAGTCGTGCCATTTCTAAAGTGCTAATGAATTTATTTAAATCCACAAATTCAAAAGCACATATGACCAATAAAACTTAGCAGAAGCTAAATATAAAGAATACATTATCTCTGTTTACCACAAAACAATCAGGCAAAAGACAAGTAAGCACTTTACTGCTATCTAGTGGTAAGATCATGTTGTTGCAGTTTGGGGAGGTGATTTGTAGAAACACACTTTTAAATYGTGGTGTTAAAACAAAAAACAGTTGTGGATTACTAGTTCTGMTGCTTATTGGCAGTTTTCTTATGTTTATGGCAGAGCTTCAGTAAGAAAACATGCAGATTAGTAATTTTAAACGGTTTGTTGTAAAACTGAAGCAATGCATTCTGGGTAGGCTACAGGACACAGAACAGGAACTCTGTTCTTTTCAAAATAAAACTGTGAATTTAAACTGTTCCGTGTTTCTTTCTTTATTATTATTTATTTATTTAATRTTTATTGCCGCAGTGTCCCTTGGARAGGAGGTACWAACTGCACAGCTGAGTGTGGTTCTGCAGGTCAGAAYTGCAGGTGGAGTGTCACCCAGTGAAGAAGCTCCAACTGCTTCCTGCCACGCAAAGAACTGTGGGACTCTACTAAATGAAAACTGTCACATAGAAGGACAGTAAGTCAGAGTATAAAGCTCTGTGAACACAGTGTTGTTTGAGGGGTTGCTGTTCCCATACAGTGGAGCTACAATGTGTTAAGAAGAGACAGCTTACCCCTCCAATGTTGACGAAAATGACGACGACGACGACGTTTTAATGAATTATGTGGCTACAAAACGTAGTGAGTTTAGACGGTACCTTCCCTTTACTTTAGACTAAATTAACGATCGAATATGAAACATTATTAGTGATTAGCGCTAGAGGATTAAAGCTTTTCTGATGAACTCACTTAATTTCATTGGCCATGTCGTCTTCGTTTTCTCGTCGCCTCTTGAAAAAAAACAGGAAAACCACGCAGATGAAGAGGAGGAGGATGAAGCCCAGCACTGATCCAACTGTTGCTCCGACGATCATCCCCACTTTGTTGGCTGGAAACATAAAGAACAAAGTGAAGTCCAGGTTTGTTCCAGGTTTTCACTGGGGGGGGGGGCTGTCAGTGAGCTGCTTACAGCCGACGATCTCCAGGTTGATGAAGCAGCTCTCTGATCCAGCTGCGTTGCTGGCGTTGCACACGTACTTCCCTGACAGGTTAAGGCTCAGGTTGGTCAGCTTCAAAGTGCCAGTCTTCTCATCTGAAACAAAGGGATGACTGTTGTTAGGTTTCCAGCAGAAATACACCACCTCTGGTAGAGTTAGCATGGCTTTCCTCCCACACTGACATCAACTGTTGCTGGAAACTGAAAGATGGATAATGATGTTTTTGCTCATGCCTCTTTGTGTGTTTATGCATTAAATAATCATTGCATGCAGATCTACAACCGAAAACACTTAAAAAGACTCCTCTGAGCTCCGACTTGTTTTTTTGGTCTCCAACTCATCCTTTATGGCTGGATGGGTGCAGGTCAGGACTAATCTGAGCCCTCCATACAAACACATGGGACACTGTACTTCCTGTTTCCTACTTCTGTTAATTAAAATCTGTTATTGAACATAATTTGTATCCACAGAAACCACTTCTACATCCACCAAATAGTTAAAACCACAAACAGTTGAAAAAAGAAAAGCTAAATAAAAACTAAACTAGTTTGAAAAAAATGGCATCAAATATGTAAACATCATTTTCGACATATTTTCTTTTAGAAATACAAGACAAAGCAAAACTGTTTTGAAAGTTTTTTTAACTTGATTTTAAGTAAATATTCTCCAGAAAAAAGAAAGGTAAAGGTAAGAAAAAAGAAAAAAATTGCAATTAGAAACTAAGATTTCTTCGCATTTATTGATGGAACCATCACGGTCCATCCTGTGCAGAACGACAAAACATCAAATTATTTCCTTATAAAACCTCTGAAACTTTGCTGCAGTTAATTTTAGCAGCATGAATCTTTGCACAGGTAATGTGCACATGTGGATTATGGATTTTAAGAGTTTTTAGCCAGATTCATTCTATTATTTAAACGATTATATACTGTATAATGCAAAAAAAAAAAAAAAAAAACTTCAGGCGAGGGGACAGAAAAATCTTTTTTTTCTGTTCTGTTCTCACTTTCTCTGAAACAGCAGCTGCTGTGATTCTTACACTTCTGATTAAACCTCCTAAGGTTAGCTTTATTTTGATACAAAGATTATTAAAGTAGAGATTGTAAACACTGACACACCCAGTTACATTCAGGAACGTTATTTCAATTAAATTTAATTCAGTTTATTTATATAGCGCCAAGTCACAACATACGTTGTCTCACTGTACATAAAAAGAATTATCTAAAGAAGAAACCAGCAGATTGTGTTGAATCACTTCATCACAGTCTCCCATCCTGAGCAAAGTGGAGAGGGAAAACTCCCTGCTAATCAGGAAGAAACCTCCAGCAGAACCAGGCTCAGGACAGGAGACCATCTGCCTCGACCGGCTGGTTGAGGGACAGGAAAGAGACACAGACACAAAAATTCAAGCACAAACTTCACGAAAAGCTCGTGGGGCTGCAGAGTTTTGTGAAAGATCTCTTCAAACATTCTTGTTTTTCTGCTGTTGATTTTGAAAACTTCACTTCGCAAAGTTCTGCCGAGTTTGTTGAATCAGTTGTAGTTTTCACTCCTGGGCACTAGGTGGTGCTGTGGTTTGTGTGTTTCAAGGGGGTTCTATAGAACAGTTTGGGTTCAGTATTTGAGTCACCTGTGTATGGAGGTCAAGGGTCACTGAACTTACCAAACCAAATTTGAGTTCCAATAATTAGTTTTAAAGGTTTTGGAATCAATAAAATGAAAACAGTGCCCAAATTTATGCACCTGCCTAATTACTGCACACTTTCTGTAAATCATATCAACTTCATTTCACTTCTCTAATTTCACTGTTTGTCCCCATATGATTTATTTAACTGATATTTGTAATCCAAACAATCAATGATTTATAAAGGTAAAACAGGAAAATTAGCAAGGCTGCCCAAACCTTTTCATATGACTGTATATACAGAGTTTA